CCGTGGCCGCACCCTCTCTCTCCTGCAGGCTCATGACACAGGGCATGGACGTGTCGGGGCTCTTCACGGAGATGGTGAAGGCAAGCGCGGTGGCCGACGTGGTGCAGAAGAAGCTCGTGTACCTGTACATGTGCAGCTATGCGCCGCGGCAGCCCCACCTCGCTCTACTTGCCATCAACACGCTCTGCAAGGACTGCGCAGACCCCAACCCCATGGTGCGCGGGCTCGCCCTGCGCAGCATGTGCAACCTCAGGTGGGCCCGGCGGCACCGCGGCCAGCAGGGCCTGCAGGGACATGATCGTCGGGTGGAGGGGTTGGCTCCTGGGAATGCCTGAGGCCTTTGTGGTGATGCCCGTGTACCTCTCTGCAGGTTGCCTGGCATACAGGAGTACATCCAACAGCCTATCCTAAATGGCTTGCGAGACAAAGCCTCCTATGTGAGGAGAGCAGCAGTTCTGGGCTGTGCGAAGATGCAGAAACTCCAAGGGGACTCTGAAGTGGGTAAGCGGGCTTTACATTAGAGTGCTCAGACTTGTGTTTTGTCACAGAGTGCACCCTAGGGAGAAGATGCTAACACTCGAGAGTTAGGTATTGCTCACAAAAACATGCTCAGATCTGTAGTCTGTCCTGGGTTCACTGAGCTGTCTCTTGGTTGTTGTGGGAGTGAAACAGAGGGCAAGAGAGTAAGCTGCTGATGTATGTCAAATCATTAGTGAGATGTTAGGCACTGCAAGTTTGTACATTTCACGTGAGCTTTGATGCTGCCATCTCTAGTATCTGGCCCTCTCTTCTAGTGTTTGATTAGCTGGTTACCATTCTGTTCATTCTAGCATGAACAGATTTTTAGTGAAAAGTTCCATGAAAGGAAGATATTATAAAACTGCAAGGTCTTTTGTCCAGTTCCCCTTAGTCAAGCCTTATGTTCCAGTTGTAGTATGTGCTTATGGATAATGATTAAATTGCAACATATCAACAGAATTTGATATATGGTCCTCTGTTTCTTTGCAGATGGTGCGTTGGTGAATGAGTTATATAGTTTGCTTCGTGACCAGGATCCGATTGTAGTAGTGAATTGTCTGAGGGCTTTAGAAGAGATTTTGAAGAAGGAGGGAGGAGTTGTCATCAACAAGCCTATCGCCCATCATCTCCTCAACAGGTTTGTTTCCTTCAAGATTAGTTTGGTGCCGGAAGCATAATTCTAATCCTTGTATTTCATGTACTAGCAGAGCAGCTCTTTTTGGGCTGCTCAGTAGTTGAACCTTTCAGAGGTTGAAGAGGCAGGTGTTCAAGATGGAGATGCTCATCCTAAGAGACACGAGACTACTTTTATGCTAAGGTCTTAAGAGAAATCTCAGATATCCTGCTTTTCTGGGGAGACTGGCTCAGCTGCTAGTGTGTTTGGAATTATGAGTTATATTAATGTGGTTATCTATTTTTTTTTCCCCAAACAGTGCAAGTGATATATTTGTGGGATAACTATGTTCTAGCATGTCTTTTTCAATCAACTGTAAGATTTATAACCTATCCATTGCTTAAAGAAATTAACTCTTCTGTAGAAGATGCTACATAACATGGCAAAAAAAGCAACATTACTTTTTATTGCTCTGCTCAGGAATTTTGTCAGGGTTTCTGTCTGGCTTAGAGTACAGAGGGAGGTGCATGTGACTGATGTGCCTGTATTTGTGAATTGATCCATTTTCTTGAAATAAAGTTGTAGCATCTACATCTAAAACACATTGGTTTGCAACTGAGATGATGACAAACTCAAAGACTACTCTGTACAGCATAGACCTTTGTGCACTACTTGACTCCTGAGAACTGTTTTGTGTTTTTTTTTCTTGGCAGAATGCCTGACCTAGATCAATGGGGACAGAGTGAGGTACTTGCCTTCCTTCTGCGCTACAGGCCCCGCAGTGAGGAGGAACTTTTTGACATACTTAATTTGCTAGATGGATACCTCAAAAGCAGCAGCATCAGTGTTGTGATGGCAGCCACCAAGCTTTTCCTAGTGATGGCCAAGGAGTACCCACATGTGCAGGCAGATGTTCTGGTGAGAGCGAAAGGACCACTGCTGTCTGCCTGCACTTCTGAGAGCAGGGAACTCTGCTTCACCGCTCTGTGCCATGTGCGCCAGATCCTTGGTAGCTTTCCTGGCCACTTTAGCAGCCATTACAAGAAGTTCTTCTGCTCGTATTCAGAGCCTCACTACATCAAATGCCAGAAGATGGAAATATTGTGTGAGCTGGTGAATGATGAAAATGTGCAACAAGTGCTGGAGGAGCTGAAGGACTATTGCACCGATGTATCCATAGAGCTTGCCCAAAGGGCCATCTTTGCCATAGGTAAGAGCTCTGCCTTCCTTCAGAAGCAGCTGCAACCTTCAGTCTATAAGGTGTGCCTTCTTCTGTTGAAGTAGATGGCTGTAAATGGTATAATGGTATACATGAATGGTATATGGCTGCAGAAAAAGCACCATGTCCCTGCTGTGGGTAGCTAGGTCATTTGCCTGACTTTTTAGGGTAGAATGACAGTTTCTTTAAAATGAGCTTGTGGTGAACAGTTATGTTGGCAGGTTTTATTTTACTGTGATAAAAGGTTGCTTGTTATGTCCTTTGGTATTCCTGCAGGCAGTATTGCGAGGACATACACAGAACAGTGTGTGGGGATTTTGACAGAGCTTTTGGGACTTCAACAGGAGCATATAACTTCAGGTGATCATCTGCAGGTTCTTGGCTTGATTTGTGCTTTCAGGAAATTGCCTTGTTGGGGATTGTGGTCCCAGAAATTGAGGTTCTAAAAGGCACTGGGCTTTTAGAGTTCTTGGAGGATGCTGAATGCTGTGTTTCTTTGCAGCTGTAGTGCAGACTTTTCGGGACCTGGTTTGGCTGCGTCCCCAGTGCACAGATGCTGTGTGTCAGGCACTGCCAAGCTGCGAGGAGACCATCCAGGACAGCGAGGTAAGGTGGCTTTGTGCCCTTAAGGTAACAGCTTCGAGGATGAGTGGAGTCTGATTTGCTTTCCTTTGGCTCATAATTGGCCTGAGGAAGAAATCCTCAGAAGACCTGTTCTCTTGTATCAGTTTATTTCGTGTTAACCCTTTCTGATAAGCAGAGACAACTTACTATTTGGTTTTCTTTATTCCTTCAGGGCAAACAAGCATTGATCTGGCTCTTGGGGACACATGGTGAGAAAGTACAAAATGCCCCCTATGTTTTAGAGGACTTCGTGGAGAATGTGAAATCAGAGATGTCTCCAGCAGTGAAGATGGAGCTTCTGACAGCATTAGTGCAACTTTTCCTGACTCGTCCTGCTGAGTGTCAGGACATGCTAGGGAGACTACTCTACTATTGTATAGGTGAGTTCACTTTGCCAAGTGATCTTTTTCTCTGCAGTGATAGTACTGACTTTTGGGGACCTGGTTTGTCTGTGTACCCTGTGCACTGATGCCATGTGTTGGGCACTGCCTGTGTCTAAGAGGAGACCATCCAGGGCAGCAAAGTAGGATGGCTGTATGCCTTAGCCTGCAACTTGCTCCCAAGCTGCCTGATTGGTGAGTGTAACAGGCTTAAATTGTACCCCTGGGAATCTATCTATTTTTAATGATTAAAGTGTATTACTTAGAGGGAATCTGGATGATGGAATTCTGCAAAAATGTATCCCTCTGATTTCCAGAGGAAGAGGTAGACATGGCAGTACGTGACCGTGGGTTGTTCTACTATCGCCTCTTGCAATCTGGTGTGGAGGAAGTGAAAAGGATCCTCTGCAGCCCGAAGTCTGATCCCTCTCTAGGACTCCTGGAAGATCCAGCTGAACGACCTGTCAATACGTGGGCTTCAGAATTTAATACCCTCACATCTGTTTATGACAGAGCATCCTGGGCACTTGTCACTGCTCAGCAGCCAGTGGAATCCTCCTATGTTTGTTCTCCTTTTACTGACCCCAAGGACAGGACAGGTAAGCAGCCTTGTCCTCATCTTGGAGAAAGGTCACAGTGGTTTGAGAGTGTTGCTTTAGTGTTTTTTCTTGTGCAGTGCCTGTCTGATCACCGTCTCTTTAGGGAGATGCTGCTGAAGGAGTCGTGATCCTAGACTTACTCATTTGATGATCCTATTAGATGTTCTTGGTGAAACTGGGAGCAGCATCAGATGATGCTGTATCTCATGTTTCTGATTTCATTTCAGAGTCACTAATTTCTGACGAGCATAAAGAAGTCCTCCAGGTTCATCCTGATGCAAGCAGCCTGGCCTTAGTTCCTGACCCATATCTGACTGCAGAACAATTTGAGAAGACCTGGCTGAATCTGGACATTAGCTGCCACCACTCTCTGCCCTGGTGTGGACCGGCTCACTCGGATACCATACAGACTGCTCTTCATGTTGTCCACATCCAAACTATTGCTATGAGCAAAGCTGGTGTCCAGCCATGGAAAGCTTATCTCAGTGCTCAGGATGACACAGGTTGCCTCTTCCTAACAGAGCTATTGCTTGAGACAGAGGATTCAGAGATGCAGGTTTCAGTGAAGCAGAGTGAGGCAAAGCCTGAGGCACTAAATACCTTTATTTCCCTTTTAGGGACTGTAATGGGGACAGTTGCTGGGCTGAAATCCTGATTGACCCCTGCTCCCAGTAGAATGCTTACTCAGGTCACAGGAAACTTCTTTTTTTTTTTTTTTTCACCGTGGCTTCCTTTGCCAAAAACTGTTGCTGGTTTAGTACTTACAAACTGCAAGAGTCCTTCTAGCCAGTGGGGACAGTTATACCTAGCAATCATATGCGTGAGGTAAGCTGGTAGATATTGCATTACTCTAAGTTGTCAGTGATTAAATGATATTCCTCTGGGCTCGTAAAGGGACAAGACAATGCATTTGTTATCCTACTACTTTTAGCATGACATAAAAGTGGTGGCATCTCCAGTGCTTGTCACAAGGCACTAGTGTGAGCCATGAAGCTGTCTGATGGTTTACCCATGTCTGGAGAAGGGATTCACTTCATTTGTCCCAGAATCCCTTCTTATTTTCTTCCATTTATTTTCTGTTTGGCAAGTTTCTGGGGGTGTTCCTTGAGAACAAAATATTATAGTTTGACTACTTTAATTAGCTACTGTGATTGTACCAAAAATACCATTACTTAGATTCATGTTTCCTTTATTCAAATAAAAGAATAATTGGGAAATACTATCTGGGAGGAGGGGAACGGATGTTTTTTATTTAAGGATTCCTTAATCTATTCAGAAACCTCATGTAGGAAGGAATTGAAAAAATACTCTTGCAAACCTCAGGACTTGTATCTCCAGGACAGCCCTTCTGCATTAAAGTTACAGAGATTTGGACTTCACACTGTTGGGAAAACCTCCTTGCTACAGCCACGAGAACCCTCTCTGATGGTGAAACCTTTGCTTTTGTCACTCCAGTAGCTTTTGGTCAGGGCAGGAAAGGTCACTCCTAATCCCCCTCTGCAGATACAAATCCATTATAGATACAAAGTACAAATTCAAATTCAAAGTCCATGTTTATCGAATGACAAAACCCTAAAGAATGCTCCCTGGCTTAAGATCCAAGTGTACCGGCTACTGTAATGACTTTACAATACAGTATAAGGAAATGGCTTTGTTAACCCCATTCTGTAAAATTTATTATTTTTTTGCATGACTCTATATTGCATCCTTAAACTACTGTATACTTTCCAGACTCTTCACTGGAATGCTACAGCTGCATCAAATTTTACATTTTATTTCTGGTTTTCCTTACAAATATGAATCTGTCTCAGCTGCTTTATGAAGGATTTTTTCATTAACTCTTGACTGATGTCTGCTAGGATGGAATTTTTATCTGATCTCTGTTCTGGATCCTGGAAATTGCTGAGGATCCAACTCCTTCCTTTGTTTTGCAGAGGGTTTCCCTCTCAGCTCACTTTAAAGCATACTTTTGAAGGGCAGTTGTGTGCAGTAATTTATTTCAGCTTCATATGTTAAATTGCAATGATAAGCATGCTAACTGCAGGTGAATTCAAGTGTATTTCACTGTGACAGGGTTTCTGTGAACAGTTTCTAGTACTGTTAAGCCTATGCTGGATTCTTGTGCTAATGGAGAGATATACTAGAACATTTGTATTATGCAGGAAAAGAAAATACTTGTTAGCTTGTGCGCAATTCTACATTTACTCAATTGTAGCTAGACTGATTCTAAGCCTTGTCTAGGATGTGACTTATTTCTTAGCCTCCTATCCAGGGATCTGTTTCTAAGTGAATGATCATGCCAGCAGTCTTTAACTTCTTCTGACCCTGTATTTCATTTGAGCTGTGCAGCTTGTTATGAAACTAAACCACACCCGTCGCTTGATGATGACAGTAAGAGAGGGTATCTGAAATTGTCCTCTTCTGGGGAGGAGTCTTGCTGGTCTGCCTTTCCCAGAAGGAAGGAGCTCTGGTGTGAAAAGGAAACTGAAGTTCTGAGGTGCGACTCACCTGGGAAGAAAAGCAGCTGCAGGTGTATTTTTGACTCCTTTGAACATCAGCTAGTTTAAGACATCTACTGCAATGAGCACTTTTGAGAAACAGACAGAACACGTTGTAAGAGCCTTATTCTCTGATCTCTTAAATGAAGAGGAAAGTGCTTACCGATGTTTGGAGAAAGATTCAGGAGGTAAGGACTGCAGTTTGGTAGGAAATGAGAGAAAAGTTTTTGTGTTTGCTGAAGATTATAGAGAGGAGTTCTGAAAATTTAAAGGAGAATTGCAGCTTGGGGTTGTGTTTCTTTTAATGCAGATTGTGATGACTTATGAGTTATCCCTGTTTCTGGGGAAAAGAGAATGACTTAGTTGTTTGAATCCTGGAAAGACCACAGCCGCAGTCTGCTTTGGTAGGAGGGGAGTGAGGAAACAGGGAGGCTATGGAGAGAGGATTGTATATTGTGTTCTCCACATCTTGTGGCTGGATCTGTGGTTACCCAGCAAGGCTAATAGGGAAGGCGCTCCCTGCTGCTGTACCTCACATATGTCTACATGTACTACTGTGTAAGGTGCTATATAGTTCTGTCTTTCTGACAGCTGGGGTGCTGGAAGGATACCTTCCAATAGTGGAAGAATGGTTTAGAGATATGCAAACACAAGCCTATTACAGGTTTTGATTTCTCAAAAGGTTTATGGAAGCATGTATGTAGTTTTCCCTAAAAAAGTCAGCTCATTTGTTGTTTCTGAAGTATGGATTAGATGTGCGTACATCTGCTTTCACTGTCTCGACCGCAGTGGAAACTGCCTGTTTGCCTGTGAAAGCTCCACTTTGTGAAGTGCCTGCAGCTCAAGTGAATCTTTCTGGAATCCCTGGTGCAGAGAGAGGCTTTTGCAAAGGCCTGCTAGTGCTGACCAGACGTGCAAAGGAGCGGCTGGATCAGCAAGTGATATCTAAAGTTTCCAGCTTTTTTAGTTGCAAGTTTACGTTCTCTCTCTTCTTCTGTCTTGTAATGTATTAAGTCATAATCCCTTATTCTGTTACCTCTGTTCATTGTTTTAGAATCTGAGCAGAATGCAGACGAAACTCCAGGTAATTTTGACCCAGTTGTTATTGCCAGTCGTTTGCGAAGCATAGGGGACCAGTGCAACATAGATTTTGAAAATTCCTCACATGTTGTTGCTGAAGTACTCAAGGGAAAGGTAACGCACATCTTTTTCTGACTAGCCCTGGACCTGCTCTTTGTAGACCCATCTTTGATCTCATTTTGTTGCAGAACAGCAAAAGCCTGGGGAAGAGCACAACTTATGCAGTAGGAGTCAGAGATGTTTGAGGAAAGGGGACGTGATAGCTAGAAGCCTTCCTCCTTTTCTTCTTGTGTAAGGGGCAGTGTATGAGCCACCAGAACAGAATCTAAACAAAGCCCTGTAGGACCTACTTACACAAGTAGGCGATTCCTCATAACTTTTCTGCTTGTCCCTTCCAGAGGAGTTGCTTTTTATCATCTAAGAAGTCCTGGAACTTCCAGAGCTGACCTGTCATTGAGGGAGATAATCTATAGTTTGGAGTTAGGGAGAGCTTGTGTGCATAAGAGATATGAAGGAAGAGGTGAGGAGACCAGATGCTCCAGTCTGTGCCAGTGCAAGTGCAGTTTTGGTACAGGTGCTGCATGTAGTTCTAAGTTAAGGTTCTTTGCAGCTCTGCTTAGACTATCAGCTCTCCTTCCTGGTCCCTCAACTATGCTTGCCTGTTGCTGTAGTTTGTACAAGCCACAATATTATAGACAGCAGTACAGGAGAGCCCTGCCTAGAATGCCCTACACTGTAGGGGTGTCACCATGAACCTTCAGGGTGTCACTTGCTTTATTAATGGGTAGGACAAGAAAACCCAGGTGTTTGTAGTATTTTGAGCTAAGACTTTCATACCATGTGGTCATTTCAAAAGAGAAAGCTCAAAGCATCCTTTTGGTATTTGCAGGTAGAGAAGTTTGGGGCTGCAGTGGATTCTCTTAGCAGGAGCTGGAGTAACCAGAATCCTGAGTTTTGCTATGAGAGAGCTTTTCTTGCTGTTTGTGTGAAATTGGCAATGTGTGTTGCAAAGAAAGTCCCAGCTATGCTCCATCGCATTCAACTCATAGAGCTGATTAATGGAAATTCCCAAGTGAGAAGCTACATTGAGTCCTCTGGAGGATGGGTGAGCATACAAAATTTGCCTTAGAATTTTTGGCTCTGTTTTTTTGCTTCTCTTGGTCTTCCAAATGGCATTCTACCTTGCTTTGCTAGCCACTGATGCCCAACTGCACAGGGCATCCTATCCTCTCCCCCTGTATACCAGCTAACTCTGCTTATAGTTGCAGAAACACAGCTTTGATAAATGCATTGATCTTAATGTCTTCATAAGTGTTAATTAAGTCAACATCAAATTTCTCATCTACTTCATGGTGTTAGGATTTAATTCCTTACCACAGTATCAAGTTAAGCTCACTATGTTAGATGAGAATCAAAATAATTAAGGATCAGTCATACAAAAAGCACTTTTCTGCATGCATAGCTTTACAGTTGTGTGACTGTAAATTTTTACTTAGTGTACCACTTAGTACGTTTAATGAGGGGAAAGCTGATATAAGTCTGGGAAGAGGAATGTGGAAAGCTTTTCTCTCTATGCTGTGTCTTCTTTCCTTGCATTCTTTCTCTGAAATAAATACATATGCTTTATTTTTTATTTTTATTTTATTTTTTTCAGGAGAACTTGGACAATTGAAAGGGAGAGGGCTATCCTACTTTCCGAAAGATGAAGTTGGGTTTTTCACTTATTTAATTAGAACAATTGCTGAAGAATTGACCTGAAGTATGCTAATGGGAATTACTTCTTTGTTTGGGAACTGTTGTGCTACTCAGAGAAATAAAATGTGTGGAGTGGATTCATGTGCTCAACATCTGTCTTAACAGTTCTTTAATAATATGTTACAGTTAATGTGGAAAATAGACAAAGTTACAAATGTGAAGGGGAACTGTGGATTTTGCCTGCTGTTTTAGGGACTCTTCTAGTCACAAGATACTCTGAATTTGAAAGCCTCCGTTCTGGCCACTTTGCAGTGCAGCCTCCTGTGACCCAGGGAGCTGGGTGTGTTCAGATATTCCCCTGGCAGCAGCTGCCAGATGTATTCAGCCTTCTTCGCTGTGCAAAGGCAGTGCCGTGTTGCTGGTGATGACTGGAGGTAGTACTAAAAAGTATTAGAGCAAACTTTCCATTTTTGTTTGGTCATGCTTTCCAGGAGAATCTTCGACAATTTCATAATTTAGAAGCTTCTGCTGATGTAAGCCCGTATTTTCTGTTGCTGAAGTAGCATCACATTTCTGTCCAGCTATTGCCTTTCAGACTTGTACAGCCAGCACTGAAAGACCCTCACTGTAGGTGTGATCATGTGCACAGAACTCAGTATTCTTGCTTCTCTAGTCTAGTCCATTTTACCCTTTTAAAAGGGCACCATGCTCTTAACTCTTTTGCCTGTTTCTGTATCTTTTTCTTTTTTTGTTAACAGGGAGTCTGGAGTCAGATGTTTGGCAGACCTGTCGTCTCTGTGGCGTACAGCTCTGAACCATGAGTGAGGTTTGCTAGCGAAAGGAGTAGGATGAAAGCTGAGTGGCAGAAGAGGCTGAAGAGCCAAGCTTAGTGCTGCTTACTCTCTGTGGGGGTACAAGTGAATTGCATGTGGTTTAAAAAGGAGGCTCTAGGGCCCCAGGTAGTGTTTTGTGGGGGTTTTGTTGTTGTTGAATTTTTTTTTTTTTTTTTTTTTTTTTGGACCATGGTATCTGTTACGCACTAATTTCCTTTAGACTCGCGATGAAGTCAGTAAACCACAGCCTGAAGCAAGTGCTCTCCAGGCTGGTGCTTTCCGCTGTGACACACATTTGACATGTCCGTTCCCAGGTTTGGCAGAGCAGTCTCGCTCTGTGTCTTGCAACATGGACCAAAGGGAAATTCTCCTACAAAACCTGGAAAGGGCCCAAAGCAAGAAGCTCAACCAAGAAGCATTTGTAGGTGAATTTTTGGTAAGTTTGCTTAAGGCACATTTCTGTGTCTCAGTTCGTTTTAAAGGGAACCTCTCAGTCACTTCTCCCCAAATGGGGATGAGATTTGCATGTGACGGTAAGATTTCTTTATAAATTCTAGAGCAGAAAGAGATACAGGAGTTAACTAGAACAAAAAGAATGTAAATACAGAAGAGCAGCTTAATATTCAAAGTAAAAAGGCTTTTAAAATAATTTTCGGAATGCTTCCTGTTTCCTCCTTTGTGAATACTCTTGTCAAGATCTGGTTTCACTTTGCGCGAGTAACACAACCGAGGGTGTATGAGGAGCATAGTGCCCCTGCCTCATCTTCCCACTGAAGCCTGTTGTATTTGTGGTGTACCTGTTGGTATATCTGTTTCTTTCAGGAATCTACAGGGTTGAGATAGGTGGAATTTTTTGTTTCGCTAGAACCCCCCACAACACACACACATACCCCTTGGAGTAAGGAGCAGATATTCAGATAAATGCCTTGTGGTCTGGGCAGTTCTGTGTCCTAGTTGTCTTCACCTGTGCTCTGCGCTGCCTGTCTGCCGGAGACCTGTGCAGTGCTCCCATCTGAAAGCTCTTTGCCATCTCTGTATTTGTTTAGGTGACAAGGATGAGAGTTGAGCTGCAACCCACAGTTTACAGTTAGAGCCAGTAGCTCTAGAAACTTGTAGGAAATCTATTTTGCATCTCTGAAGCTGGAGGCAGGCAGTTCAGGGTTATTTAGGAGTCTCCATGCAATCCAGACCTTGCTTTGTCCTAGCAGTGACAATTTGCATTTCAAAAGCCTGGGAAAAGTTTAATGCTCGATTTTGAGATGTCTGGGTCAGAGGGAAGTGATTAATCTGAGCCTGCACTAACAGTCCTGTTGTTCCATGGAACAAAGCACTGTCATGGGCTGCTGAATTTCCCCATCTCGCTGCCATGCTGGGGTTGTGCTGCACAGTGGGAGGCTGCAGGGGTGTTGAGTCTAGGTGCATATGCAAGTTCCAGCAGCCAAGTGCACAAATAATGTTCTAGCAAAGACAGCGGGTAGAAGTGGTCAGGGCTGTATTTCCTCTTGTACTGGGAAGAGATTTCCCAAAGGCTGCCAGAGTTTTCTGCTATTTTTGCAAGTGCCAAAACATTAGCAGACAACTGTGACAACCCACATTTCCACATTTGACAGAAATGAAGAACCTTATTCTCCATCCTACCTCTTTTTATGTGAACAAGCATTTGTACATTTAGACTCTGCTGCTGCTTGAAATGGCAGGGTTTATTTTTGGTTAAGTCCCTATTTACTTTCTGTGTATCTCAGACAGAGTCTGATTCTTACTGCTTTCACCTACTTTTTCACACGTAGCCATTTCCCAAAACATGCTCTATGTCAGATTCTGCAGGGACAGAGAAGTAAGGTGATCCAGAGCCTTTGCTTTGAGAAGGCTGGTCTCAGTGCTGAGTCAAACCCCCTTCCCTGAACGCTCACCCTTGGGGTTGATTTTGCATTGGAAGGAGGCAGGGAAGTGGGATGCAGCCAAACAGCAGAACTCGAGAGGTGACATGGATGTGCTGTCCATGAGAACATCCTGCTGCTCACCTGTTTCCACAAGTTCTGTCTCAGTGTAGTGTCCCCATGTTCTTGATTAATGGAGACTGGACACATGGACCGCCCTGTGCCTCCTGCACCCTCTCCATGACTCATTCCCTCCAGGTCAGTCAAATGCCGCTCTTGCAGTATTCTATCTGGGAAGCATCAGAATTTAGGATTTAAAAAGATGCGGGTTAGTGTTAAAACAGCAGCTCTCACTTGGATCTGAATTTCCATGCACAGAAATGCTGTAGATTAGATGTATTTTCCTGTATATGCCTTTCATCTGCAGTACTGCCAAGGGATTGCTTGGCCTAATCAAATATATACAAGTTGCCATGTCCTCCATCTGCTGATTGCTGTGGCCTCTTGCCACTTATTATCATTCTGTAATTTTATGCATATGAGCCCTGAACAGTGTCTTGTTCCAAAAGGTGCTGGTCCAAAGCAGGCTGGAGTCCAGGGCATTTTGCTGCTGTCCTGCAGCTGCTGGAATGTCAGGCCTTAAGCACCTAAGGACAGAGACCGTGATTCTCTAACCTGGCAGGAAATCTGAGCTGAAACATGGATGCTTGTGAGATCCAGTGGGAAGGTCAGTGATGTTGTCTGCAAACTGACTCTTGAAGCAATTCATGTTGAGTGTTCAGAAACCAGGGCCTTGAAATGATGAGGCGCTTGCAGAGCGCTAGTTCACACGTCATCAGGTCAGAGCTCACAGCTCCACACCATCAAATGTGCTGGAGTTTGTCCATACCAGCAGGAAGGATATGCCACCTTTTCTGCTCTAAACACCTTTTGGCCACTGTGCTATTTTGGTCCAGCGACCCTGGGACCTGTAAACTCTGTTTTTCCTGTGCTGTATGAGCGACTGAGCCATTATTTCCACTTCCTGTTAGCACCTCAGCTGCTAACGGGAGCACAGGCAGGGCAAGAGAACCCTGTCACCTCGGGTGCCTCAGGTGTGCCTGTGCTTCCTCCTCTTTGCTTTTTGTACCTGCACACATTTCTTTTTTTTCCCTTTTCAACCTGGTTCCTGAACGCCAGCAGTAATGCCCAATGGGCGCACTGTGAAAGCCTGGCTTAAGGGCGATGGAAAAGGGAGACTTGCTCTTCAGACTGTCAGACCGCAGGGACACCTATTAGAGAAATGGCTTTTTGTTTGAAATCCTACCATTGTTTAGAGGCAAGAAAAATTGTTGGGCAGACAATAATGTTACAATAGAAAAAAAGAAAAAGAAAAAAAAGGTACTTTCAAAGGTGACAGCAATGAACAAGCAGTGTGTGTTTAAGCAGACTGATGTCAATGAAATAAAACTCTAAGCCTCTTTTTTTTCAGGAAAAATGCATGTGAATTCTCCAGGACTGCAAGAGCTTTAGCCTGGAAGCGAGAGAGACTGCAAGACTAGAGATCCATGCCTCTTAACTGTGTATTCTAGGGCTTCTTTTTCTCTCTGTTTCATCAGTGACAACTTTGCTCTGATTTCATGTTCTCCAGTTATTGTTTGGCCATTGCTTTTGTCATTAGGAATGCGAGCATCTTTGCCAAAGTGAGAAAAATCAGTTGCTTTATCTGTCTTTTCTGATGGCCT